GCATGAGTGCTTTGATTGACATCCACAAGCTCATTCGGGTCCGTAATGGAAACACAGTTTTATGAAGCAGTGGGTATACAGCTGTTGTAGTATTTTTATTACCATTTTTTGAGGCGCCTTGAGCATTTGCACAAAGCTGTGGTAGGAATGGTAAAACAATAAGAGAAAAACAGATATGTTATTCCTCCATTGATGAAAGAGCAAACGGCGCGAAAGAGGAATTTAAGTTCTCACCCTCTTGAATATAGGGGGGGGGGGTCAGGCGTGGAATTTTTTGCTTCGGAGGTATTCTTTGTACTTCTTGCTTTTCCCTTTTCTCTTTTCTCTTTTCTTTTCTTTTCTTTTCGATTTGGAGCGAGTGGAAACCGTGGGTGTTCTCCCTGGAGTTTACCCGTATGAGTCTAGTTATTTATCAATTATGGGCCTTTTTTTTTTCTCGAGGGCATCGCATGGTCCTCTATACAGAAATTTGTTTACCTGTGCTTTGTTTGTTGATGCCATCTGTGCCGGCCTTCTAGCAGTTATTTCTTTATATATCCCCCCTGCTTCTTCGGATCCGCTCTTGGGATTTAAACTTACAGCTGCCTTAATTGCGGCCACGTACGACATTGCCTTTTGGCCCTTTCTGTCCATACTCTCGCGACATCTATATCTATCTGCCTTTTTTTTTTTTATACAGGTACCCCGCCCCCACATATATCTGTCGGTATTTTCAGGCTGTGTCTTCTCATGTACTACATATATATAATCTCTTTCCCCGCCATGGAAAATACAAAGCCATAGTTGGTCATTGTGTTCTTGTCAGATACCCTCGACTAATAAATATTGTTAGGTAGAACAAAAGTAATTATATATATATATATATATATGTGTGTGTGTGTGTGTGTGTGTGTGTGTGTGTAGGGTCACGCACACGTCTATACATGGAAATCACAAATAATCAACAGTAACTCCATAATCTCCCATCTCTCCACCCACCAAATAATAAATCCGAAACCGATCCCAAAGGAAGAAGTAGCAGCTAGTTATGAGCAGCCGAAGAAGCGCTCTCCTGCCCTCCAGCACCACGAGCGACACTAATAACATCGACCCATTTCCCTCCCTTTTCGATATCTGGAACTCTCACAACCCCCTTACCAGCCGCCGCCGCTGTTTTGGCATCCACAGCATCCCCGCCGGCATCCAGCGACATCCCCTCCCCATCCCGCGCCCACTCAATCAGCATCTCCTCACTGCACCACTCGCCCATTCCCATGAGACCCGCAGGGACCTGGGGCCCGTCGATCAGGCCCATGGGACGCGAAAGAGCAGGACAGCCCGTGAAATTCGCGAGATACACGTACTCCATCGCGCGGAGGCTGGAGTTCTCGTCGCTAACGCCTGAGACGAGGTCTGCATCGCCCTTCGCGATTTTCCAGCCGGGCATGGGCGTTGTGGGAGTCACGATGATGAGGCCTGGATGCTTCTGGAAGAGGAAGGCGAGGTGAGACATGAGGAGGCTGCGCAGGCGCTGGGCCGCGAGGAAGTCCCGTGCGCTGGCCTGGTTGGCGCCGAGCGAGACGAGGATTTTGTTCTGCGGTGTCAGCTGGCGGATCTGATCGGGTTTGACGGTTGATGAGATCTCGGCGAGGATGGTAAGGCTGTGTGCTTTTTGGCCTTCGGCGAGCAGGGGGATGGAGATGTCGACCACAGTGTAGTTCTTGGTACGGTAGTGGTCGATGGCTTTGTTGAACAAGGCGAGGACGGCGGGGTCTGCGCGGTTGACCCAGTCGAGGAAGATGCCGATTACCTTGGGTCGGGATGCTAGGGCGGAGCTGGATGGAATCGTGGAGAGGGGATCTGGGAAGGAGGAAGATTCCATGGAGTCTGGGTCTGGGCTGGCCATGAGGCGGTATGATAGAGCTAAGTCGTCGAGGCTGGAAGTCATGGTCCCCAACACACCGGTCGTCGAGGCTATTCTAACAGTTGGATGTGCAGAGACTCGGCCATGAGTGGTTTTGATGCCGTAGATGCCACAGAAGCCGGACGGGAGGCGGATTGACCCACCACCGTCAGCTCCCAGGGCAATGGGTACCAGGCCTGCGCCAACAACATATCCAGAACCTCCCGAAGAGCCGCCGGCATAATAATCCTTGTTATGAGGATTTCTCGGAGTCCCTGTATAAGGGTTGTTGTTTGTCGTGCCTGAAGAATGGATTCTAAGGCATTAGCATTGCGATTGTCATGAAAAACGTAAATGATGAGTCTCAATATCATGGATCGACTTAGAGGAATATTGAAACCAAAGTGGTTAAAAAAAAAAAAAAAAAAAAAAAAAAAAAAGAAGAAGAAGAAGAAGAAAGAAAAATTACCCAGGCCCAATTCATGCATGCTAGTCTTCCCGACGACGATCGCTCCAGCTTCCTCCCACTTCTTCACACACCACGAAGTGCTGTTTATCTTCCCAGTGAAATCAAATCGACTCCCCAACGTCCTCTTGTACCCTTCAAGATGTGCCTCATCCTTAATTGCAACAGGAACACCATCCATAGGACCTAACGGTTTCCTAATTTTATACCGCTCAGTCGAAGCCGCAGCCGCAGCACGAATAATATCAATGCGCGACTCAAGAAAGCCAACTGAAAATTCCCCAGGAGGGGTTATATCACGGCGAATGAGCGGGAAAAGCGCTTCCACGACCGCCGTCGGTGTCAATTCTCCAGACAGGTAAAGTGCATGGTAATCAGCTGAGGTGTAGTATCCCTGTCCATCTCGTCTCTGGATTGGCGCAGGCAGGCTCGATGTCTGGGCTGTAATAGGATCCACGATGGGGATGACGGTAGGGTCATATCGGGGCGCGTAATCGGCCAAGGAGGGGATTTCGCGGAGGAGGGAGAGTCCTGCATTGCGCCAGAGATAACTTTGAATGGCATTGGAAGAGGAGACCCTGCAAGGAGAAACGCGATCGTCAGAGTTAGCCTTAATGATTGTTTAGAAAGCCCTTTCTGTATCCTGTATTTTTATACATTATTATTACATTTCGCTTCGTACTTCGTACTCCCCTCCATAGATAGAAGGGATGCAAGAGTTATAGCAAAGCAGGCAAGCTAAACTAGAGAAAGATGGAGAGCTATTACTGACAATGCAGAGCCGAGGGCCAGCAGGCGGCCACGGAGGAGAGGGTTTGACTCTGTCGGATATTTCAAAGGGATGTCGGGCCCTTCAAGGGCAATTGGATAATTGTGGAATCGACGGGAAGTGTCCGATGCTCCAGCCATGGTTGCAGAGTTCCTTAGGTTGTCGTCCGCGTGGTGAATGAGGAGGAATTATGGCTGACTGGGACCTCGGGATGATGATTCCACGCGTGATTCGCGCTTGTCGGCTGTCGCTCCGTCAATCAGGTAGAGTTTGCTTGCCGCGTGTTTTCCGCGTGCTTTCCGCGTGGTAACAACCTTATTTGCCGAGGTTCCTGGATGACCTAATCTATTAGCCGCAATTTAGTCAACTAACTATGGGGCAACTACAACAGTAGCAGACAAGCATGGGAGCAGGGAGCAAGGAATCCACCAACTAGTCTTTAGCTTGCATATCTTGATGCTCGGCGGAACCTGTTGAAGATTGTCATTGCAGCTCCTGATGCTTCTCCCCAAAAGACAGAGAAAGTCAGCACGCTCTTGCAGGAAGACGGTACTCTGTTCATTGACATCATGTCCAACAGTCTTGCACAACGACGGTTTGTTGATATTGGGTAGGTTCTGTGTACTTAGTGCTAGTAGCAGGGAGTGGTTGAAAATAGCAATCCCCGCTTTCATTCTTGCCAGAAGAAAGGAGCTGTTCACGAATGGTGGCAGAACTACGGGGCACGACTATGTGATGGTCTTTTTTTTTTTTCAAGAAACGAATATGGACTCTCCAGATGAGGCATCAATGATAAATGACACCTTGAACGGGTAATATAAGCCAAGTAAATAATTATGATGACATACATCCGTGGGTACTATACAATGGAAATAAATTTATCCCAAAAAGAAAAAAAAAAAAAAAAAAAAAAAAAAAAAAAAAAAAAAAAAATCCTACAGCCCTTTTATAATTTCAACTTCAAATTCCATTTGTCCATGGCCAGGGCTATACCCGTTAAAACAGCAGCATAACCAACCAATACAGCCATTGCGGTGTTTCTGTCCGCATCCAATGTATTCATCCCCATATTGACCGTACCAGTAAGGAGATTCGCGATTAAGAAAATGGCTAAACCATTGTTGTTAAACGCATGTAGAATTCTGCTCGTCGCAAAACGGCTTCGCTCCTCCTCACTCGGCTTGTCAGTCGCCTTGTGCACTGACGGAAAGAATAGCGTCTCGAGAAAACAGAAGAGGAATAGCTGCCAGTTGTTAAATGCGACCACCCAGAAGACATACGGCAGGTTTGCCAGCCGTCTCGAAACGGGAATACCCGCTCCGAAGCCAAATAAATGGAGAGAATTGAAAGCAAACAAAGCGGTCCAGACGATTGACCAGCTTGCTTGGCGGATAAGAAGGGACTTCCGTGCCTGGTAAGGTGTCTTGGTGGTGGATGACGAGGTCTCTCGGGGCATGACTCTCAAACCCGTAGCGCGTCCGGCGAGGAAGATTGCCAGGTAGCCCAAGAGTGAGAACACCCCCTCACGGTTCTTCGAAAGGAGAGACGGGCCTCGAGGTGAGACCAGAATATACTTTTTTAAATCTGTTGACTCGAGCACAACTTGATATCCAATGCCAATCAGTGAGGAGAGCGCGTCGTAAGAAGGAATGATGGCCGTCAAGGAATGGAAAATTTCCACGAAGGGACCCAAGAACGCCAGCGTGAAGAAAAAGTTCCAATGCACGCCATATTCGGTCACATGCTCTGCATAATCTAGCCCCTTCACGCTATAGAGTCTGACCAGACCGAGGACAAGAAGTGGGATAGTATGGCGGGCCGAACCGAGGAGCCGTTTTGGCAGTGATCCATTGTTGGACGAAGATGGACCCTGGCTCTTCAGGACGGATCGAGTGGATACTACGCCCCCCGAGAAAACAAACGATCCAACTCCCAGGTCCATAAGCGAAGTGCCCCAGTTTTCTACTTTGGCAAATCGTCGGGGGAAAATGCCGAAGTCAACGGCAAGGATGGCCGTGCATGTTGCTATCATCATCGTGCCGCGGTATGAGGTGAGAAACGGGCGGAACGGAACAGGATCGAGTTTATTTGAGGTCGCTTTCGCATTTTTTGCTGCACCATCTGACGAATTCAAGGATGTAGTTGGGGGTTTGGCTTTTTGTGTTGGCTGGTTTCGTTTTGGGCTCAGCAGTATGAAAATGGAAGGGGAGATAAGGAGGATGTTGAGTAGAATGGGGGTGGACGAATAGAGGGTTGTCGCAAAGAGAATTGCCACGACATTAAGGAGGAAGTCCGTTATTAAGGATGCTGGTAAATATGGGGTGAAGAAAGACTTGCGGGACTGGAGAGCGGACCAGAGGAGCACCGCGGCCTGGGTGAAGTTAGCTTTCACTCTTGGATAGTCAAGACCATACCCAAATCCCACGACCAAACTCAACGTACTGGTGCGACAAGAGTTACGGCATTGATCTCTAATATAGTTCCGCCAGATAGATTAGATACAAAGGCCTCCTTTCGCTCTTTGTATGTCTGTGGTGTCCGCGACATTTTCCGTGATTTGCGGTTGGCCGCGTCGATGTTATACGGATATTTCAAAATCAAATTGTCATTGTGGATTCTGGCATCCAGCCCACACCCATATACTGTATGTGAGATAATAAAAACATATACACTTGGCTGAAAATTCCACGATATCGTGGCTGTATCAAAAAAAAAAAGAAAAGAAAAGAAAAGAAAAGAAAAGGACACGATGGAGAAAAAAGTTGCGAGGGATTCTTTGACGCTGACATCAATGCCAAGACATCGGCTTGCCGCTTACATAGATATTCATCTATGTGCTCTGTACGGAGTAGATCCTCCGTTGAGCCATCCACGGGCCCATGAGATCTCATTCCACTGTTTCAGCACAGCGACCACACACACACATATTCAGAATCTCTTTCGGTTGAAGCACCACACGTTTTCAAAATTACGTGGAGGTAAACTGCTAGTATCATCTGGATTCTGTGCACAAATATTCGCGGTTTCTCTGGGTGTGCTTCCAAATCTCTCGCATGAACTCCAGAATGGGTAAATATAAATCTACCAGTGCTGTAAACACAGCTTCGGCATGACATTTACGAGTGATAATGAGTGCTGAATTGTTCCTGCAATTGCCCCAGAACGCCTGTCCGTTTCGTCAATTTGCGGGCAGTGATTTGCAGGTAAAGGCATGATCTAAATAATCCTTGACAACAAGTTCCTGAGGAGGGGTAACAGTGCTACCCCCAACATATTGTGTTGCCTTTTTTAGTCTTTCTTCGACGCCATCTACCAACATCTGCAAATCTACCCATCTGGTTGAAAACAGTTAAAGAGGGGAAGGAAATGAATACTCGCGAAATGTCCGACGAACAAACCCCTCAACGTGTCATAACCACGCATGATGCGTCAGCTGCCTCCATCTTCGACACCTCCGTCCCTACCACTGTCCCCGTTGTAGAATTCCCAAGCGGCCTCGCCACGTTCAGCACCCAATATGCAACTGAAGGCTTTCCAGTATCCCTCTCCGCCAATACCGATATCCAAATCTACTGCAACCACCTCGCCAACCCGGGGGGCATCGTTATTAACAACGGCATCATCATGCGGACCATAGTCATGAAACCGGGAGGGCTTTCTCGCATGCATCGCACAATTAGCGTTGACACCGGAGTGATAATTGATGGGAGCCTTGAACTACTGCTAGACTCGGGCGAGTCCAGGATGCTAAGAAAAGGCGATGTCTTTGTCCAGCGGGCGACGATGCACATGTGGAAGAATACGAGCTCGACAGAGCCCGCTACGATGGTGGTTTTTACCCAGCCGTGCGCGCCGTTAGAAGTTGCTGGGAAGTTGCTGGAAGAGGAACATCGCGTTTGAGGGAAAAACAAACAGTCACTGCGTATTGCACCTCTTGCTTTGGTGAGGGGGGTGGAGGCCGGTATATCGATGTCAAGCTTGAGGCAATACGCGCACAACGGGCAGGAGTAGATCACACGTGTGAGAAAGATTATAACTTGAGACGTCAATGCTCGTTGAGTGGAATAGGGCAAGGAAAATTAAGGATATTTGATGGTTTTGGGCAATCGCGATCATTTGTAGCGTTGATGGAAGGCATTTTCGCAGATCCGAAGCCCGTGAGAAAGGAAAAATGTCAATTAGTAGGCTATCACCGTAGAAGTTACTGTTTTTCTTTTACCGAAAGCAGACAAAGTCACTGTGTTCAGTTAGATTTTTCTTCCCGCCGACCGCGTCGAATATATTCAACCTACAGCAACGCAAGAGTGCATAATACGAAATAGATAATACACAATAAACTTATTCTAAAAACCCCCCAAAATTAAATAAATAGATAAAAATAGATAAAAACCGTTTGATATCGAGACACAAGCCGTACGATGTGGCGATAGTTGTAAACCTCCCCTCCAAACAAATATTTACCAAAAAGAGACGTGAAAATAAAAATAAAAAGCAAATGGTAAACGATAATGGGACATCTGAATGCAAGAGAAGGCGCAAGGCTCCACAAGCAAGAGCTTAAATTATGAAGGGACGCCGAAATGTATCAAATAGAAATATCGGTGACCACCCTTGGTACCTCACATCATCGTCAAATATTGCAACGGAACCAACAATGAGAGACATCACATAGAAGAGGACGAGAAATGCGCGATGGACAAACTCAGGCATGCCGACTTTTTTTTTTTTCTTTTTTTTTTTTTTTTTTTTTTTTTTTTTTTTTTCGATACTGATTTCATTATTGGATAACTTGTATCGTAGATATGTCACAGCATATTTGACAAGGACCGCTTTGAGTAATTGGAAAATGGAACCCTTTTCTCTGGGCGGAGGACGAACCGTGCGTCTGACGCACGTCCGTTAAAGAGTGCGGTAAGATTTCAGCCACTTTGAAGCCTCTACTGTTGCAAGTCGATATCGAACGGCGCAAAGTTCGGTTTCCGCGGGTAGTACTTCCCACTTTCTCCAATGGAAAGGAAGATGATATTTTTTTAGCTGTGAGATGGGCTCCAGTTCCGGTCATGTATACGCTTCGCTCAACAGGATTTCATGATGACATCCTCGACGTTCCCGACTGGACATGTAATACGAAGTATTCGCTGCGGGAGCTAACATCCGTAGCATACATTGTAACAGTTCCAAGGCCTGAATGTCAGAACGAAGTTATTATCAGCGCAAACTTATCAAAAGTTTAGCAGACAAACATAACACTTGAATGTAGATAAAATAGAGACCGCTGGAAAAGTAGTAAAATGAAGAACAATAAGTGTTAGAGTTTTTAGACTATCTGGTCTTGAGCGCATTATATGGAAAAAGGAGTTACTGCATCGGCAGCCTTCATCAGGATGCGCGAAGAACATAGCACCCTAATAGCCGCGCACCCGCTAGAAAGAAAAAGACCAGAAAGACTGAAACATTGAAGACCAATATTTCTTCAATTTTTGTATATTTCTGAAATGGGTTTGAAACTGCAAAACCGCGAGTGTTTCTGCATATAGAACAAGCACACGGTATAGTTAAGTCAAGATATGAACTGGATTTTCCCGCACGAGTTCTCCTGGGCAAACGCTAACAGTAATCTTGAGAAAATATTCTCTAGTAGCAAACCAACTCTCGGAACATCGTAGCAAGAGAATCCCCTCTCGGAAACGCCTGAATGAATGTGCAAGTGCAGAATAGACGACAAGAAGTCCTAGACACTTGTTTGATGTTAGTTCCTATAAACGGGATCTAATGGATTGCTAACCACAAGAAGTCCATTCCACCCTTCAGAATCAATCCAAATCAATCCAGAGAGCGGGTATCCTGTAGTCGACGATTACTCAGCGTGTGCTTCCCTACCATTCTTGAAACAAGTTGAGTGGATGAGAAAGCAGGAAGGGGAGAACTGAGGAAAACTAAGATATCAAACGAAGGCCATGCGATAGTTTTCAGCTTCTTACCTGTAGAAACAAAGGCAGAGGCGGTAAACCTCCATCGATTGCTGAGAATCAGGAGGCTGTTGAGATATCAAATGCTCGTCCAGCGACAAACTCTGCCCAGGATGGGGATGCTGAGGTTGGAATCTGCCAATTGGAAACTAGGAAAGTAGACGACGCTAAGATAAATTCGGCGTAGCGTCCTTGTGATTAGCTGAGATTTTTGAACCACGCCAATCAGTTGTCCACACTTCTCTTTCCAGACAAACAACTACCAGGAGAATTGTGGAAGTTCGATACGGGGCACATAGTGACGCCTCAAGAGAATCCTATTGATACCCTTGCAAGCCTCAGACGTAAGGCTTCCCTGTGATTACGCACTACTGCTGACCCCTGTGAATAGATAAACGATTTCAGTAAAGGAATTCCAACCATGCTATTACTTGGGAATGGTGACGGGAGATACCACAGTTGCGTGACATTGATGCGGGATGACAACCACGCATGTCCGCAATCTGCGCTGACAGCTTATGCAGTTTTGTCGGCTCTAAAGTGGGGAGCGAAAGTGAATGGGAAGGTTTGAAGCCGACTAGCCAACTCATCATCCCCAATAACTACCCACTACACCCAAGATAACCAGGGGTTGACCTACGATACGGGCATCTCTGCACATATGTCCAGTGTTGGGATAAGAAACAATGGCAAGGGATCCTTTGATCCGTTTCCCTTGAATTTGTTTGAACTCAAATGTCGATCGTTACAATGAAGATACCCAGCCACTTCATTTTCTCGGGGGAAAAAAAAATTCATAAAAGCACCTCACCGCCATCTTGTATTAGCCTTTTCTTGGACTCACCAACGCCTGACGTGAGATGAAAAAATCACTCCAGAGGGACCAAAAGTCTGGTACTCCCTGGAGAACGGCAGCTTCGGATCTGCCATGGACGATCTGCGTAGGTGAGACTGCGTAGAGCCTTATGAGACGTCAGATGTCTTAAATTATCTCACAGCTTCCGAACTACATTGCCGCCCTATTTCCTGATATTCCCTTTCATTTCTTTCAGGTCCCATTCCATGCAAGCGTCTCGCAGCTAGAAAGACAAAGGAAGGGCAAGGAAATGTACCAAGCATACAACTGGCCGGTCCACACACCAGCAACAAGCCAATCAGGCTCATACTTTCTATATATCCTTGCGCAAGACCAAAGGCAAAAGGAAGCGCACATATACCAATTCGGAATTTTTATTGCATAATGACATTTTTTGTCGGGTTTTAAAAAAAAAAAAAAATCTTGTATGCTCTTTGCTGGCTGCGCATTTAAATTTTTTTGGAGGGGTTCCCCTCTTACCTCTTTCTTTGGCTTCCTTCTCGCACTACATTGTGTATTTTCCTATATGTTGAGATTGAACCAGCACGGCGCGTGCATGTGCATGGCAAAAAAGCAAGCCGGCTTCTGTGCTGGTCGCCACCATCGAGTTCCTCACGATTTCCTGGCATTTGGCATTCAACCATCCAATCACACCATTAGCCGAGGAAATCCGACAAGAAAGAGGAAAAGAAGAAAAAAGAGAAAAGAGAAAGAAAAGGGAATATCATATTTTCCATAGCCTTGTCTATATACATTATTTTTCGTTAGCATCACACGTTAAGTTAATCATCCCATACCCAACAAACGCGGCGAGCGCGCGCGAGAAGTCATCTTATCATCCAATCCTTCATACCTCTGCTGCCCGCCTTGCCTTCCACCTCCCTTAATACCCATCCTCTGAACAACCAGGACGAGTTTTCCAAAAACCCTGTCTCCTAATAGGATCGAGAGAGCCGCTTAAAAGGGAACCACAGAGAGCAGACCAGGAGAAATCGGAGGAAAGGAGGGGATAGGAAGAAACGGGACGAGCAGATATGGCCTCCCTTGTAATCCTCTTCATTCTAGGCGGCTCCTGGTTCCTGCTCGTCACCTTCCTTGTCCTCGGCATGTGCCGACAGAAGTATATGAGACGGGCTAGTTCCAGTTCCAGCTCCACCTTCAGCAGCGGCAATGGCAGGAGTAGCAGTTCTAGCGCACTGGGTGCGGCTGCGCGAGCGAGGGATCTTACAGCTACATCGTCGGTGGCATCAACGGACGCTGCTGGAGCAGCGGGAAAGGTTGGGACTCCGAAGAAGGCTTAAATTTCCGATAGAAGGAGAGAGAGCTGTGATTTTCTTGTCCAATTGGTTTTTGTGAATTTTTTTTCAAACGGGGCAAAAAATAAACTCGTCGAGTTGTGCTTGCCCATGGCCCTCTTTTGCGCTTCACTCGGCGGTTCCAGGTTCTTTATGTGTGTGTTGCGTCCTTCAAGGATTCAAAGAAGGAATGTTCTAGGCAAGTGTTTGCCAATGTATGCTCCATCCCTGCTCCCTGCGCTTTCCCCGCTCTCTCCACTGCCACTTCGTATTCCAGTGACCAGCTGGGCTGATTCAACAACGCAACAGGAACCGGGTTAACGAACCCGCCGGGAAGCCCGTTGGTTATTTTGTTCCTTAAGCCCAATGTATCCCAGAAGCTTCCAAGGTTAAAGGCGGTAACGTGGCGAGCCATACGATCTATATTGGGGAAGAAAGCTCATGTGGGATGCTTAAGGAACGACCGGACGGGTTGACGGGGGACAGTTTTAATTTTTGGTGATATTGCGGTGTTAAGCTGGCACCTCGCTCTAAATATATACCTATATAAATATACACTTATGCTTGCTAATAGCCATGTATGTAGCTTTTGACATGTTCCTTCAATCAAAACAGTTTGCTATCGACTCCCCCACATATTTTCATAGTTATTGAACAAAAAGAATATATCCAACAGAGGTAGCATCTGAAAAAAAAAAAAAAAAAAAAAAAAAAAAAAAAAAAAAAGAAAAAAAAAAAAAAAAAAACCGGTTTGCTTCCCCCGCATTCCCCCATAGGCGTATTGATTTACAGTAGAAAAAGATATTATATGTATCTATACATAAAAGCTCCTAACTTGATATCATCTATTGTTTCCATCCATCATTCATAGACTTATCTTCACATTATCTTAAATGCTCTGGTTTTGTTTCTGCATTTTCCTCAGTTGATATTATAATTCATTGCGTATACTGCTTCTGCAGCATCTTAGCAATCGTCTGGAGCTGGATATTACTCGTTCCCTCGTAGATAGCTCCGATCTTGGAATCTCTGAACATCTTCTCGGCGATGCCCTCACGGACGAAGCCCATGCCGCCCATCCACTCGACCGCGGAACCCGCAACGCGCCCAGCAACCTGCGAGGCGTACAGTTTCGCCATAGCGGCGTCCTGCACGAAGTCTTGGCCGGCTTCCTTCTTGCGGGCGGCGTTGTAGACGAGAGCACGGGCAGCGGCAATTTCAGTATATGCCTGTGCGACTTGGTGCTGCATACCTTGGAATTCACCGATCAGTTGGCCGAATTGGCGGCGGTCGTTCCAGATGTATCTTTTTTTTTTTTTTTTTTTTATATATATTATCGTCAGTTTTGCTGATTTCATTTACCCTCGCCTCTGATTCATGGAAGGACAAAAATTTTTGTGAGAAATAACAAGGATGCAAAAAAGTAAGTGGGACGTGCAAACTTACTTGGCAGCGTTTTCCCACGCACCCAGGGCGAGACCAGTCATTTGCGCCGCGATACCAATGCGACCCTCGTTCAACAAATTAATGGCGTATTTGTAGCCCTGGCCTTCCTCGCCTAGGAGGTTCTCCTTGGGGATTTCCACATCATCAAA